CCTCACCTTCACACTTGAATCAGGGGCTTCTCGCTCCTTCTTTCGAGACCGCACCACACTCACGTCGCTTGGTCGGCCAGTTGCAGTCTCCCTGGCAGACCCCTCTTGGGGTCCTGACCTCTCTCACTTCTCCACTGTCCTCCCGTGTCCGGCTGCCCCCTCTGTCACCTTGTCTGGTCTTTACCTCCCCTCGTTCTCTACGAACTTGGTGAGTGGTGCTGACCTGCAGGATACGGGGGTTCACCAGTTCACTCCTGCGAGTCAGCGGGTGACCCACTGCACGGACGCTCGGACAGGCCGACACCTGGCCACGTTTACACGTCGGCCGGGGTCGAGCATGTACACACTGACCACTGCGTCTCCTCCAGTCACTGCGTCTGGTCAGGTAGCTGCGTCGGGTCAGGTGTTTGCTGCAGCGTCCAGGTCTGGTCCTGAGTCTGCCCCCTGCTCGTGTCGCCTCCTGTCTCACGAGACTCTCCTCTGGCACCACCGTCTTGGTCACCCCTCCCTGCCTCGTCTCCGAGGCATGGCTTCCCGTGTCCTTGTCTCTGGTCTTCCCCGGTCCCTCCCTCCCCTTCCTTCGGGGCCTGGTCCTTCCTGTGCCCCCTGTGTCGAGGGGCGGCTCTGAGCTGCCCCTCACTCCTCTCATTTTCCCCCGACAGAGGCCACGCTGCAGACGCTTCACAAGGACGTGTGGGGCCCGGCTCGCGTCCGTGGACAGGGTCACGAGCGCTACTTCTTGCTGGTGGTTGATGAATACTCGCGTTACACCACTGTCTTCCCCTTGCGCAGCAAGGGTGATGTCGCTGAGGTGTTGATTGATTGGATCCGCGCAGCTCGTCTCCAGCTCAGGAGGAGCTTCGACTCGGACTTTCCTGTTCTGCGTCTGCACTCTGACCGAGGCGGAGAGTTCTCCTTTGGCATTCTGCGAGCCTACTGTCGTGCGCGAGGCATCCGCCAGACCTTTACGCTTCCGGACTCTCCACAGCAAAATGGGATTGCTGAGCGCCGCATTGGCATGGTCATGGACGTAGCTCGTACGTCCATGATGCATGCGGCTGCCCCCCATTTTCTGTGGCCGTTTGCGGTTCGGTACGCGGCGCATCAGATCAACCTTCACCCCAAAGTCTCCAGGCCGGAGACCTCCCTAGCCTTGCTGTGGACGGGGAAGGTCGGCGATGCGTCTGCGTACCGTGTCTGGGGATCTCGGGCGTTTGTCCGCGACTTGTCTGCGGACAAGCTGTCCCCTCGTGCTGCTCCCTGTGTCTTCCTTGGCTTCCCCCCTGACGCCCCTGGGTGGCAGTTCTACCATCCCACCTCTCGTTGTGTTCTGTCCTCCGAGGACGCTACGTTCGACGAGTCACTACCCTACTAACGCCTCTTCCCCTACCGCACTCCTTCCCTCCCCCCGCCACCGCACTTCCTTGTGCCAGGTCCCCCCCCGGTAGACCCCCTCCCCCCTCAGGGTCCTGCCCCTTAAGGTGTGTCCCAGGTAGATGCAGTCGAGCCGGTCGAGGTTGCTGGTGACTCTGATACTCCTGCGGGTGCTGAGCCTAGGGGTGCTGACTCTGGGGGTGCTGCGACTGGGGGTGCTGAGCCTGGGGGTGCTGAGCCTGAGGGTGCTACGACTGGGGGTGCTAAGCCTGGGGGTGCTACGACTGGGGGTGCTGAGCCTGGGGGTCCTTCGCCTGGGGGTGCTGCGTCTGGAGCTGCTGAGCCTAGGGGTGCTGAGTCTGGAGCTCCTGAGCCTGGGGGTGCGGAGCCCGCGGCCGCTGGACCTGCTCGTGTGGCGTCTGGTGGTGCTGGGCCTGCTGGTTCTCCGGGTGCTTCGTCTCGGCGGGAGCCACTCTCTCCACAGGAGCTGCGCGAGTGGTTTGCCCGGCGCTGGAGGCGTACTACTGGAGCTGGTGCTTCTTCGGCTGCTGAGGGTGCTGGTTCCGCCGGTCTCGGAGGTGCTAGTCCTGCGAGTGCGACTGGAGTCGGAGCTGCTGAGGGTGTTGGCGCTGAGGCTACTGCTGTCAGTCCTGGCGGCGGTCCTGCTGCGGGTGCTGCTGGTGCTGCTGGAGGTGCTGGAGCTGGAGGTGCTGTTGACGCTGGTGCTGCCGCTGGGGGTGCTGGTGCTGTCCCTGCTGTGTCTGGAGTCTCCGCGCGGCCTCGGCCGTACTTTGTTCCGCTCCTTTAGCAGGTTCTTGGTCTTCCTCCTCCCTTAGAGTGTCCACCGCCTATCCAGTCGCAGTCACAGTTACCGCCGGCCTCCCCACTGCCTTCTCCTTCTCCGTACACTGGTCCTACTGGAGGCCTTGCTGAGCGTCGTGAGCCTGCGTCTCGTCCTGCGTCGCCTGTTCGTGCTGCTCGCACTAGTGGTCGTAGTTCGCGTCAGCGTCCTCCTCCTGTCCCTGGCACGCACCGGATGTCTCTGCGTCCGTCCACTGCTCCTCTGCGTGCCCCTTTGCCCTCTCCTCCTGAGTCCTCTCTTCCTGCGCTTGCCGACCCTAAGTCGGACTCTCTTCGTGCTGCCAGTCCTACTGTCACGCGTCTCCTTGCTACTGTCGTCACTGACCCCTCCTTTGAGTCCACTGCTGCGTCTGCTCTTGTTGCTGAGCTCGTCGACTTTGCTGCTCGCTGTCGTCTAGACTACGCTGCTAGTCTTGTTGCTGAGTCTGCGTCTGTCTGTCCTCCGTCCGTCGGGGGTGAGTGTGCTCTTGGCACGGACCTCCTTGAGGACAGGCAAGAGGGGTTCCAATGTCTGGCTGCTGCTTCACCTCATCTCGCGTCCGTACTGCTTACCCCTGAGGGAGACCCGTATGCACTAGACATCCCGACTCCGCGCTCTTACGCGGAGGCCGTAGAGGGTCCCTACTCCTCTCAGTGGCAGGCAGCTATGGATGCAGATGGCTTCCTGGAAGTCCACACGCACCTACGTTGACGCGGTTCCCCCTCCTGTGGCGAACATCGTCAGTGGCATGTGGATCTTCAGGGTGAAGCGGCCGCCGGGCTCTCCACCTGTCTTCAAGGCGCGATACGTGGCTCGTGGCTTCAGTCAGCGGCAGGGAGTTGACTACTTTCAGACCTTCTCTCCCACCCCGAAGATGACCACTCTTTGGGTGCTGCTACACGTAGCCGCTCAGCGCGACTACGAGCTTCACTCTCTTGACTTCAGCACAGCTTTCCTGCAGGGTAGCCTGCACGAGGAGATCTGGTTGCGCTGTCCACCTGGCTTCACTGGGACTTTCCCTCCTGGCACCCAGTGGAGCCTCCGACGGCCAGTCTACGGTCTCCGCCAGGCACCGCGCGAGTGGCACGACACACTGAGGACTACACTTGCGGCTCTTGGGTTTGCTTCCTCTACTGCTGACCCGTCGCTGTTTCTGCGCACCGACACCTCTCTACCGCCGTTCTACATCCTCGTGTACGTCGACGACTTGGTCTTTGCCACAGCTGACACTGCTGGACTCGCCCACGTGAAGTCCGAGCTGCAGAAGAGACACACGTGCACAAACCTGGGTGAACTGCGCAGCTACCTTGGCTTGCAGATCACCCGGGGCAGAGCACGCCGCACCATTAACCTGACTCAGTCACACATGGTGCAGCAGGTCCTTCAGCGCTTCGGCTTTACGTACTCCTCGCCTCAGGCCACTCCTCTGTCTACTCGCCACTCGCTCTCAGCTTTGCCTTCGGATGAGTCTGTAGAGTCGAGTGTCCCGTACCCAGAGCTTGTTGGCTGCCTCATGTACCTGATGACCTGCACACGACCTGACCTTGCATACCCTCTTAGCATTCTTGCACGCTATGTTGCTCCTGGGAGACACAGACCAGATCACATGGCTGCAGCGAAGAGGGTGTTGCGCTACTTGTGCAGTACGTCGGGCATGGGGCTAGTGCTTGGAGGGCGGAGTCCAGTGGTCCTCACTGGGCACGCGGACGCTTCTTGGGCAGACGACCAGGCTACGCAGCGGTCGTCACAGGGTTACACCTTCAGCCTTGGTTCCGGCTCTGTTTCGTGGCGGGCTACTCCCTCGTCTTCTGTTCTCGGCTCTAGTTGTGAGGCTGAGATCTACGCCGGGGCCATGGCTGCACAGGAGCTTCGCTGGCTTACCTACCTGCTGACTGACCTCGGAGAGCCGCCTCGTTCTCCTCCGGTGCTGTACGTAGACAACAAGGTCATGCTAGCCTTGTGTCGGGAGCAGCGCCTGGAGCACAGAACGAAGCACATTGCTACTTTCTTGCTCGTGAGTTGCAGCAGCGTGGTCGGTTGCGACTTGCGTACGTGGCCTCTGAGGCCAACACTGCTGATTTTTTCACCAAGGCACTTCCGCCTTGTGATCATCAGCGCTTCTGCACTCAGCTGGGTCTTGTGCCTGTCTTGCCTCACTTGCTTACCCCTTGACCTTGCTTGTACTCTTACATATATATATATATATATACCTGCTCTTGCTTGTTTAGCCTTATATATATATGTGTACTCCTGCATGTGAACTGGCCTTGTGGCCTTGACCTTGTGCTCGGACTGTGTGGTGACGTTGTGATCCACCCTGAGCTTTGTCTGCTTTGCTGGACTGGTCTTGTGACCCCTTGTTCTCCCCCACTTTGCCTATGGGGGTGTGTCAAATTATAATATTGTGTAGGCTATAGTGGGGTAGCCCATATGGGGTACAGATTTCTAGGGTTGCATATTTGTATCACTTCCATTCCTTAGTCATTCATTCTCGTTCTACTTTTCTCAACTGCTTGTCGCATGGGTTACGTTATACTACATCATTTTCATGGACGCCATCGCCAAGTCGGTCGGTGGCTTGCTGGAGGCAAACGTCTTCAATGACGAGGTGTCCTCATCATCCATCTCTCGTGTCTCCAATCGTAACGCCGAGCGGAAAAGAAGGGCTGGGCTACGCCGGCGGAGATACCACATGCTGCTGGAGGACCTGTAAGGCATGGGGGGGGATCAATTCAGAGACTTGTTTCGCATAAACCGAAGTATACTCGAGTACATTGTCGCCGGGATGACGCACTATATGCAGCCGTACGTGGACAGGTACCTCATCAGTCACGAGGTGGCATGCCTTGTCCCAATCAAATACCTGGCAAGCGGCATGTCGTTCGTAGACTTGTCCTCCGTGTTCGGGCTGTCCAAGACCCTGTGCCACATGCTTGTTGACGCGCTCCTCATGCATTTCCCGTCCGCCTTCAAGCAGCAGTGGGTCCACTTCCCGACCCGTGACGACCTCGACGAGATGGCCGAGGAGTTCCGCGCCATCAAGGGGGTACCTGCGGTAGTGGGGGCTATAGACGGCACACACATACCCATGAAGGGGATGGAGGGGCACAGGCAAGAGTATTACATGCGGAAGTCATGTTACGCCGTCCAGTTGTAGCTCACATGCGACGCGCGAGGCATGATATGGGACTATTTGATCGGATACCCGGGCAGTGCGCACGATCAGAGAGTGTTCATGAACAGCGTGTTACACGAACGGTTGCACAACGGCGACATAGCGCCATACCAAATAGTGGGAGATGCTGCCTACCCACTCAGGGACTTCTGCCTGACCCCCCTACATGCTCCCCGTGAAGGCCTAATGGAGGACTGGGAGCAGTGCTTTAACTCTTGCCTAAGCGCAACGCGCATGGCAGTAGAGCGCTGCATCGGCGCCTTCAAAGGCGTCTATTCGCGGGCCGCAACGACTGCAAGCTCTGGCGCATTCTTGCAGGGGCGTCTTGTGGCATCATCCTGCACAACATGTGCAAAACGATGGGCGCAGTGAGGCGCGTCAATGCATCGTGGGCAAACTTGCCCCGAAACCGGGACCCATGGTGGACGCGTGGCGCGGTAGCAGAGTTCAAGTGGGAGCCATGTGACCCGTGCACGCAAGAGAATCTGCGGGAAAGGCGCAAGCGGATGGGCGAGGCTCTGGAGTCGTCTTACCTCACTCGGCGGCGCCGCGAACCCACACCTCCTCACCCGCATCAGGGTTAGAGGGGTCTTCGCCCGCCTGCCCGCGACGGAGCCAGCCGTCGTCGCCGCCTTCGGCGGCGTGCGTGTCGGTCATGTTGTCCGCGTGGACAGGGATGTCGTCGCGGACCGGCGGGGAGGGGGCGGGCTGCTGCACGCGTTCGCGAGCAATACGCGCGTCCTGCTCCATCCGCGCGCGGACGAGGCCTTCAAGCCCGCTGATGGCGTCGGAGTGGCAGTCTTTGATCGTCTCACACACCAGCTTGGCAGCGGCCATCGTAGCCGTCTCTACCACACGTGGGCGCTTCGATGTAGGAGTACCCTGCGACGGCGGAGCTGCACACACGGTGGATGCACGCGAGCATTAGACGATGCGTTGTGTATTAAAACATTCTTGTAAAGTAACATATGCGTGAAAGGACGTTGCACGATGTGTCAATCAACAAACCCGCGAGTACTACCGTTGATGCAATACAAACGTACTAGTGAATGTCAGCGTAGAGGTGCAGGGCGCCGAGGTGGACGGGACCCCGAACCCGCAGGGCACGTTGACGTGTGCCGCACCGCCACCGTCGACGGTGTGAGGGTTGCCCACCGCCTTGTTGTTCTGGAAGAGCGCCATGTACGGGTACCAGTGGGGCTTGCACACGGCACCCTTGCCGCTCGCCTTTTCCCCCTTCTTGATCTGCTTGTACATATTGACGAGATTGCGCCACTGCTTCTGAAGCGCATTCACACCGCGCACCCACGCGGGATTCTCCTGCTCGAGGTGGCGCGCGAGGCGGGCCTGTCAAACTCGTATGCTATAGTCTGTGTAGGCTGTAGTGGAGTAGCTCATATGGGGTACAACACTTTAGGGTTTCCTACTTGTACTCCTCATGCTGCTCAATAGAATCATTCCTGTTGCTAGATAATAACATGGTATCAGAGCACTAGGTCCGTAGGACTGTTTTTCTTTCGGGCCCACCTACCGTTGTGGTTACCGCGCTACCCCACGTGTTGTCCTGTGTCTGCCTGCCTTGCCTCGTGACGTGCTGCGCTGCGCGCGCCGTCCTGCAGCCCTCGCGCTGCCTCCTGCTGCCCTAGGTCAGTGCGCCGCCCCTCCAGGCTCGTAAGGCTCACGAGCCGCCCCTGCAGGCCCGTCAGGCCCCCGAGCCGCCTCTGCAGGCCTGTCAGGCCCCCGAGCCGCTCCTGCAGGCCCGTCAGCCCCCCGAGCCGCCACCTGCAGGTCACTCAGGCCCGCGAGCCGCCCCTGCAGGTCCGTCAGGCCGGCGCGCTGCCCCTGCAGGCCCTTGCCGCCCGCGCGCAGCCTTTGCCCGACCGCGCGCCGCCCCTGCAGGCCCTCGCCGCCCGCGCGCAGCCTCTGCAGGCTCGTCAGGCCAGAGCGCGTCCCCGCCAAGTCGCTGACGCGGCCTTGCCCAGACGCCGACGCGGCCCCGCCAGCCCTGCAGCTGACGCGGCCGCGCCCTCCTGCTGACGCGACCCCGTCCAGACGTGACGCGGCCGCGCCCTGCTGCTGACGCGGCCCCGCCAGCCCTGCAGCTAACATGGCCGCGCCTTGCTGCTGACGCGGCCCCGCCAGCCCTGCAGCTGACGCGGCCGCGCCCTGCTGCTGACGCGGCCCCGCCCAGACGCCGACGCGGCCCCGCCAGCCCTGCAGTTGCCGCGGCCCCGACCTGCTGCTGACGCGAACCAGCCCTGCAACTGCCGCGGCTGCCCCCGCCTGGACGCTGACGCCGCCCCAATCTGTTGCTGGTGCGACCCTGCCCTACAGCTGCCACGGCCCTACTCTGCAGCTGCTGTTGCGGCCCCGCCGAGCGCCGGCCCTACCTGCCACTGGTGAGCACCTGCCTTGTTCGAGCGCTGCCGCCTGCCTGCCTGCCTGCTCCCCTGCCTGCCTGAGCGCCTGCCCTGGACGCGCTGCTGCTGCTACCACTGCTATTGCTACTACTAGTGCTACTGCTGCTACTGGCGGTGGCCAGATGCAGCTCTAGCGGCGTCCGTGTGAGTCCCTCACGCCCCAGCAGCTTCGTGAGTGGTACGCTTGTTGGGGTTGTCGGGGTGGCCGCGCTACTACTGCTGTTACTGCTGCTACTGCTGCTACTGCTGCTACTGGCGGTGGCCAGATGCAGCTCCAGCGACGTCCGCGCGAGTCTTTCTCGCCCCAGCAGCTTCGTGAGTGGTACACTCAGAGTAGAGGGCCTCTGCGTACCGTTCGCTGCCCGTACGTCATTCCCACTGGTGCTCGGACTGGTCAGGCTTGCGGGACTCTTAGTCACACACAGTCCCGCTGCTTCGCCCGCCTGAGCGACGCCTGGCGTACCGAGTTTGGTGACGAGGCTGAGCTCCCCGACTGGGTGGAGCTGCTACGGCAGAGGGTAGATATATTTGCTCTGTCAAGTTTAGGAGTAGAAAGTTTAGAATGAAGAAAGGAGGGGGTTCACTAGCAAGCAGTTGGATATATATAATAAACCCTAACAGGGTTGTACTCGCTATAGAGCACCCCACTACAGGCTAGATAATAACATTCTGACACACCCCCATAGCCAAAGTGGGGTGTAATCAGCAGAGCACACAGTCATAGAGCAGGTGCACAAAACAAGCAAAGCTAGAGGCTATCACAAAGGGCAAGTGAGGAGGAGGAGGCGAGACTGTAAGAGGAGAGGAGATAGGAGGCGACGGCTGAAGCTCCAGACACACGGGCAATAGGAGTCACACTGACACGGCGGCTACCGGAACAACGCTCCGGACTACTAGAGTAACTGGCTCCGCGGCTAAAACTAGCGGCAGACGAGCAACGGACCCACGGGCGACTGGCACAGCTGGCTGCGACTGGGCTACCGGAGCAGCGCCCCAAACTACTGGTGCTGCTGGCGACACGACGGCAGTATCCTCTCAGCCTCCCCAAACAGCCCCACCCCCCTTGACACACACCCCCTGCTTCACCCCTAGCTCCACTCCCCCTTCATCCCCCTAGCACCACTCCTTCGGCTCCCCACACACACACCCCCCTGAGCGGCAGCTGCAGCAGCGGGAGACGGAGGAGGAGGAGGAGCAGGGGACGGCACACAGAAGCTGCACCCCCATACCCCCCACCCCAAATCCTAATTCAGGAGAACGCGCAGCAGCAGGGGTGGGGCGTCGTCAGAAGCAGGGGGGACAGCGGGCAGCTCAGGTGAAGAGGAAACAGGGCGCCCACGGGCCTGGCGCAGCCCGTACGAGCCGCGCGCGGGCGGCCTGAGGCGCGCCCTGGCCTGGCGCAGCCCGTACGGGCCGCGCGCGGGTCTGGTGCAGCCCGTACGGGCCGCACGCAGGCTGTACGGGCCGCGCGCGGGCCCTACGAAGGTCGCGTAGGTCGCGACGGGCGACGGGAGGGCGACGCGCGGGTCCCCGTCGCCCGTCGCAGCGTCTCCCGGGAGTGACCCGCGGAGTGACGAGGCAAAAAGCCGCTGCGCGCCTCGGGGCGCACGGCGAGCAGAAAACCGCCGCGCGCCTCGGGGCGCACGGCGGGCAGAAAACTGTTCGGAGCGTGCGGCAAGATGAAAAATTCGTTGCACGCCACGGGGCGTGCAACACAGAGAGTAGCAGTAGCAGCGGAAGCAGTGAGGTGGTGAGCCCACCCACAGGATCGACCCAAGGGGATCGACCTGCTCTGATAGCATGTCAAGTTTAGGAGTAGAAAGTTTAGAATGAAGAAAGGAGGGGGTTCACTAGCAAGCAGCTGGATACATATAGCAAACCCTAACAAGGCTGTACTCGCTATAGAGCACCCCACTACAGGCTAGATAATAACATTCTGACATGCTCTTGACTATGATGCTATTCTCAGTGCCATGTATGCATTGCCTACTAGTGCTGACCGTGACTGTTACCTGTGCGTACCGCCTGACCCAGGTATAGAGCCTGCTGCTCTAGGTGCTGGTGAGGCTACTGCTCTAGGGGCTAGTGTGTCTCCTGCTCTAGGTACGGGTGAGACTGCTGCTCCAGGTGCTGGTGAGTCTGCTCTCTCTGGTACTGCGCCTGCTGCGGCCTTGTACACCTTCACACTTGACTTTGGTGCTTCTCGCTCCTTCTTTCGCGACAACACCACCCTCACGCCGCTCAGTTGGCCGGTTCCGGTCTCCCTGGCAGACCCCTCTGGGGGTCCAGTCCGTGCGACCTCCTCCACTGTCCTCCCTTGTCCTGCTGTCCCGTCCGGCACACTGTCGTGTCTTTACCTCCCCTCGTTCTCTACGAACTTGGTGGCGGGTTCTGCGCTCCAGGATGCGGGTGTTCACCAGTTCACCTCTGCCTACAAGCGTGTGACACACTGCACGTGTGCTCAGACGGGTCGTCACCTGACTACCTTCACTCGGTAGCCGAGGTCGGGCCTGTACACACTGGTCAATGAGTCCCCTCAGGTAGCTGCGTCTGTGTCTGCGTCAGGTCAGTTGTCGGCCCCCTGCTCGTGTCGCGCCTTGTCGCACCAGACCCTCCTTTGGCACCACCGCCTTGGTCACCCCTTGGTGGAGCGCCTTCGCAGCATGCACCGCCATGTCCTTGTCTCTGGTCTTCCCAGGGTTCTCCCTCCCCTCCCACCCTCGCCTGCTCCTCCCTGTCTTCCCTGTGTCAAGGGGCGGCAGCGCGCCGCTCCTCACTCCTCCTTGTTCCCT